TAAGTGGACGTACTACGACTCCATCTCAAATTATACGATATGCTTGTCATAGAAGCCGGGTGACATTAGCACTTGTGACCTAGTTAGGTTTTTGGTGGGAAAATGGCACCAAGGTCATATCATCAAGGTCAAGTGAATGTTTTCTGTGTTGGAAAAGACACGGTGCTTCTATTGCATCTGTGTGATTCTAGACCTCTTTTGTACCTTACAAGATGGAATTGAGCGTTTTATATTATGAGATGGGGTTTATATATTATATATCCTCATAGAGTGATAATAATTTAATGTAAGACTAATGGAATTTTACATTGTGATGTGGGAAAATCGAACCAACGATTACTGTTAATTCTTGTGATGAATAATATGCTAAAATGGCTGGGCCGTTATCAGGTAATCTATGGTGTATTGGCCTCTCCACCTGGTAATATACCAAGCTGTCTCTGCTCAGGACATGTTGATATTGTCAGTTATTAAACCTCCACACAATCATGTTCCATTGCTGCTGTGTGGTTCCATTATACCAATTTATTTTTCAAATTATTTATGATCCCTGTCTTTCCATTTCAGTCATCCAAAACCAAGAAGTTTTTACGGATTAGTCCGAAATTAAAAAAGAAGAACTCTCGGAAAGAGGAGGAGAACACAATGAAAGAAATGGCTTCTCAGGGAAAATCAAAAAAAATTAACGATAAAATTCCAAATGGATTGAATGACAAGGAACGATTAGGTGAGTTGTCTAACTTTGTTAAGTTTACTATTCAGCAAAGTTCGTAGCTTAGTGCCCCAAGGCCCCACCCTTTATATGCCTGCTACCCATCTAAAAACAATGCCCTGTTATGATCGCGTTATACAGGGGTATGTATTGATTCAAATAATTTAGCTCACTCCCAAATGGATTTCAGACAAACCTGGTGCCAGATTTTCTTTAAAAAAAAGTGGTACAACTTATCCAAATCTGTCCTTTGTTGTACCCTAAGGATTATGCATCAATATGAGAGACATGGCTGTAACTTTTACCTGGTTAAATTGAAGATAAAGCCTCAAATCCTGAGGTTAAATATCCTAGAGCATGAGACGGCCATTTTACAAGCATTTGATGAAATCAGAGCCATGAATCTCAAGTGGTTGATAAGTTGCCAAAATGGTGGAAAATCAATCATACAGCCATGAATTAATATTGATTGTGTTGTAAGGGTTACTCTCTTATAAACTGAACTGACTTCTAGCTCTGATATTCATTCTCACCTGTGATTTGGGGGTGAAGCTTACACCGGGCTGACTCTTCTTATTTGTGACTTCTTAACCTGAAGAGGACTGTACAAACCACACTTAATCATCTAGCAGACAACAATCTATCTTGCTACTGACTGGGCTATCTGACTGTCATAGCAGAGAACAATCCAACTTACAACCGACTGGGCTATCTGACTCTCCTAGCACAGTTCACTTTACTTTCTGCTGTTGTAAGAATAACCATTCATGAACACTATAGGTCTGACTTGTATAGTTTCAATTACTATTATTATCTAAAGTAGACTAAGAACCCCCCTCCCAAAGCAAGTGGAATTTAGAAGGGCTTAGATTCTAATGTGACTTAGTCAGACTGACATGGTTAAAGAGAGTTTAATAGAGAGTTGGCACACAGATAGAATATCATAGATTATAATAATACTGAAACAAGCTTATTACACAGACTCCCAGTGGTGGTTCTCATACCTACAGATCAGTTGGCATACAACTATAGCTAGCTATAATAGATCTCTACAGGGGGTTAACGCATTGTGGTTTGTTTGGTTGGTAGATGACAAGTTAATGTTAGAATACTGGTTTCTTATAACAATGTTTTTAAAGATAGGTTCTTCAATATATAAAGCTGATTTAGAAAGCTTAATTAAGCTCCTACACTAACTTAATCAGTTAGCACTATTATAGATCTGTACAGGAGGGTCACTAATATAGGCTCTACCAAGCTGAAGCATAGATAAAGCTTACTTAAGCTCCTACAGTAAATTAAGTAATTGGCAGACCACCAGGGGTTTACTGTAGCAATGTTTTTAAAGATAGCTACTCAGATTATCCTAAAAGAGTCAGGGTGTGGTATTCTTAATATGCCTTTGAAAATGTTGAGCAACTCTGAAATCAAGTGAGGATTGTAGGAGAACAATGTGTCAGAGTCTAGTTTTGATAAGTGGTACAGATACCTTAAATTGAGCCATATATCATCTTAAAGGCAAATATTCAGACGACTTTATGTTTTAAAATTCTATTGTTGATCTCAAGCCAACAGACAAATTGTTTTATGTTAAGGTGACTAAAGACAAGAGGTATAAAAATGTTGTTTCAGGTCTGTTTGTGGTTTAACAAATTACTAGTACTGATAGACAGCAATTACCTTAAAGTTATAACAAAATATTCCATACATTGTCTGCCAAACTTTTCTAATTTTTCTTTTTATGGTACGTGACAAGACACAAGTAATGGTAGTTCGTCAAATCTGGTGCTACTTGTTAAACAGAATATTTTGATTGGATATTGGCATGGTTAGGGCAATTTTTAACATGTTGTTGCTCTGATCCATTTACGGAATGACAATTTTCAACATGACAAAAGCCTGATATGGCATAACTTTTGGTAGTTATACAAAACTGAATAATGAGTCTGTCAACAATATCTCTGTACCTTACTGTACACTAATACAGTCGAGGGGTAGGCAATCCTTTCTATGTACCATTCCATTATCACTACTAGTTGACTGTATTGTGGTCTACCAGTTGACTGTATTGTGGTCTACTAGTTGACTGTATTGTGGTCTACTAGTTGACTGTATTGTGGTATACCAGTTGACTGTATTGTGGTCTACTAGTTGACTGTATTGTGGTATACCAGTTGACTGTATTGTGGTCTACTAGTTGACTGTATTGTGGTCTACTAGTTGACTGTATTGTGGTCTACCAGTTGACTGTATTGTGGTCTACTAGTTGACTGTATTGTGGTCTACCAGTTGACTGTATTGTGGTCTACTAGTTGACTGTATTGTGGTCTACCAGTTGACTGTATTGTGGTCTACCAGTTGACTGTATTGTGGTCTACTAGTTGACTGTATTGTGGTCTACCAGTTGACTGTATTGTGGTCTACCAGTTGACTGTATTGTGGTCTACCAGTTGACTGTATTGTGGTCTACCAGTTGACTGTATTGTGGTCTACCAGTTGACTGTATTGTGGTCTACCAGTTGACTGTATTGTGGTCTACTAGTTGACTGTATTGTGGTCTACTAGTTGACTGTATTGTGGTCTACTAGTTGACTGTATTGTGGTCTACCAGTTGACTGTATTGTGGTCTACCAGTTGACTGTATTGTGGTCTACTAGTTGACTGTATTGTGGTCTACTAGTTGACTGTATTGTGGTCTACCAGTTGACTGTATTGTGGTCTACTAGTTGACTGTATTGTGGTCTACTAGTTGACTGTATTGTGGTCTACCAGTTGACTGTATTGTGGTCTACTAGTTGATTGTATTGTGGTCTACCAGTTGACTGTATTGTGGTCTACTAGTTGACTGTATTGTGGTCTACTAGTTGACTGTATTGTGGTCTACCAGTTGACTGTATTGTGGTCTACTAGTTGACTGTATTGTGGTCTACCAGTTGACTGTATTGTGGTCTACTAGTTGACATAGTTACAGATTGTCAATAAAGTATTAAAATCTATTTTAGGATATTGTATTGATGATGATAAAATAGTTTCGGTCCCCTGGGACAAACAAAAATCACTGAGATAATTGATTAAATCTTTAAATATGGTGGCAGTTTTTATTTACGATGAGATTTTTCATATTTTGTTCACGGTTGATCTAGCTTTAATCTGATGAAGCTTTCACTAGTTAATGAAGTAGAATATAAAAATAATGACCTTGTATGACTGTTGAGGTACTGCCCAGTCAGTGGTTTAATTAGGGGGTGGGTCATTAGGCCATTACCTCATCCCTAGTATCTGTGAAAGGTCAATTTTAAAGTGAAAATTTAGCTATATTGATACTCAAATTCATATCAGGCCATCTGAAATTTGTTGGCTCCCGATGGCCTTGTGCACTCCAAATACCCCCTTCATCAAAGAGACGCCTCCCCCCTTCCCTCTCCCTGAGGCCTTTTGCTATTTATGCCCCTGATTGCAATTATGAAGCAAAATGTCTGAAACTATTTTGCACAAAATACCCGTATCTTTAAATTTTGCTGTTGCACCAAGATGAAACTTTTTCATTCAAATATTCCCAAACAAGTCTATTGTAGTCTATCTAAGCCTGTCTTGTATAACTGTAGAATTCAACACCATCCCCTGGGACCAAGATTTGTCACAGATTTATTATCAAATTTGAAAAATAGACATTTATTCCACATTTTTTATTTTTCCATTCATGAATTTATGGATTTGGAGAGAAACTATTTGTCAAGATTTAGCTGGATTTAGTCCCCTGGAGAATTCTGGAATGTTATAAATTCTAGTATTTAACACGACTAATAATGACATGTTTTTATCTTTATATATCATCACTGGTTATTTATATTTTATTTATTGAATCACCTTTGAACTTGAATCATTGTGTTTAACAATCTGATTAAAAAGACAGATCTGGGGATTTGATTCTTGATTTTCTTGCCATCTAATGATTGTAATGTATCCCCTGTTTGATATATTCAGCCAATCAAGTGACCTGTTCCTAAATTCCTTGCTAGGATATTCTATGATATACTCTTGACTTGTTTTATCAGCTCACTTTAAAAATGAAATAAAGCTAATTAATAATGAAGTTGTTTAGAACATATAGACAATTCCTGTTTTTATATGAAGCTACATTAAAACTCTAATCAGTTTATATTGTATTATTAATTTGAATCAAAATAAAGTTTTATATTTTATATCTTGTTCTTTGGCATTCTGGTCATGAATTTCTACCCTGTTTTTGTGGCATTATTTACTAGTAATCTATAATATATTTTAATTTATTCCAGAATTAAAACAGACATTTGATCTGTTTGATAAGAATCAAGATGGTAAAATCTCTAGTGAGGAATTAGGTTGTGTTTTACGAACATTAGGTCATGATTATACAGCTATAGAAATAGATGAAATGATTAAAAATGCAGACACCAATGGTAAGTAAAAGTTTTTGATGTGTGAAATTTAGAAACAGAATTAATAATAATAGTTATCTAGTCTCTCTGAGTTGACCAAACCAGGCACAGAATGGTACCAGGTGTTGCAGGAGAGTAAGCATGCTCTGTGGTCTAGCATCAACCACCAATTCTTATCATAATGGAGCACAGATTGAATTAAACAGCACCAAATTCTTTTTGAAAAGCAGAAGAATTATGCCAAAAGTTTTCCTATAAATGCTGGAAAACAACATGAATTTTTTTATCTTGCATTTGATTCACTAATTCAGAAAGTGATGAACTATTGAAGAAAGTGTGTTTATATTGTAAAATTCGATATAACGTAATAAATCCTTTCTTAGGCTCAATATTCAAATTATCAAAGTCATGCAGGAATAATCTTTAATAGTGTGAAGACACTAAATGTTTATCTAAAAGTTTATGCAAAGTCTTTTCAACTCAAAGCAATTCTTGGACAGATATTCTGAATAATCTTTACAGTACTGTATGTTTATGTGAAGAAGATTTGAACCCAATAAGAAGGTGAAACACTTCAAACTGTCAGCCATTTTCAATAAAAATAAAATGAGGACCATTATTCTGTTATAAGTGTCAATTTCTGTATTACTTCATGTTTTATGGAGAACCAATTGCACAATAATTGTTGATTTAGTATTATGGAGAGCGCAATAAACCTACATTTCGTGCAATATCAACTCAATAAATAATTGGAATGAAGTTGAGTTGCACATTTTACTGCTCTTGTTTGCAATTCTCATATTTACACCCTAGGAAATAAAATAGAGTTAGTAACTCTACTGTTTTTGTATCTTATTGGACTAATGAAATGAAATGGAGTTTTATATTCTACTGTTCTGTATCTTATTGGATTAATGAATTGAAATGGAGTTTTATATCCTACTGTTCTGTATCTTATTGGACTAATGAATTGAAATAGAGTTTTATATTCTACTGTTCTGTATCTTATTAGACTAATGAAATGAAATAGAGTTTTATATCCTACTGTTCTGTATCTTATTGGACTAATAAATTGAAATGGAGTTTTATATCCTACTGTTCTGTATCTTATTGGACTAATGAAATGAAATGGAGTTTTATATCCTACTGTTCTGTATCTTATTAGACTAATGAAATGAAATAGAGTTTTATATCCTGTTCTGTATCTTATTGGACTAATGAAATGAAATAGAGTTTTATGTCCTACTGTTCTGTATCTTATTGGACTAATGAAATGAAATAGAGTTTTATGTCCTACTGTTCTGTATCTTATTGGACTAATGAAATGAAATAGAGTTTTATGTCCTACTGTTCTGTATCTTATTAGACTAATGAAATGAAATAGAGTTTTATGTCCTACTGTTCTGTATCTTATTAGACTAATGAAATGAAATAGAGTTTTATGTCCTACTGTTCTGTATCTTATTGGACTAATGAAATGAAATAGAGTTTTATGTCCTACTGTTCTGTATCTTATTAGACTAATGAAATGAAATAGAGTTTTATGTCCTACTGTTCTGTATCTTATTGGACTAATGAAATGAAATAGAGTTTTATGTCCTACTGTTCTGTATCATATTGAACTAATGAAATGAAATAGAGTTTTATATCCTACTGTTCTGTATCTTATTGGACTAATGAAATGAAATGGAGTTTTATATTCTACTGTTCTGTATCTTATTGGACTAATGAAATGAAACACAAAGTTTAGTTCTAATGTTTTGTATCTTTCTTAAAAGATAAGGCGTTATTATTTACTAGTAATTGGAAAATGAAATGAAATGGAAATTAATATCATACTGTTTTCTGTTCTACTGACTCTTGAACTTATTATACTAATAAGTTTACATCTACAGTTTGTTATAAGACTCATAATATAACATAAAGTTTCTGGCTAATGAAATAAAATGGAGGTAAACGCCCTGACTAAGAACGCCACAAAATGATTATGAGGAATAACACATGAAAGAACACTTAATGGGTAATAACAAACATTTAACAGAACTGTCAAATTGGAATTTATGAAAAATCTAAAAATTGAAAAAAATTCAATATTTACTTTCGACCTGTTTTTTGCTGAGAATTCTGGCACCTCATAATTCACATGTAATTTCTGACTTGCCAATAGATAATAGTACTTAGGTTAAAGTGGTTGTTTTTACCTCCTCTCAGGTGTTCATCTAAGGTTTTGGCTTTCCATTTGTTAAGAAAGAATTTGGATTGAAAATAGATTAACTGAAGTGAATTAATTTCGAAAAAATTTAATCATTTTGAAGTCACTTTTTATCTATCATCCCTAAGCACTAAATATATTGTACCTCTATATTGTATTACCAGTAGTATATTTAGACTCATCAGAGGAGGCTGGCTACCGCCATCCCCCCAACACGGCCCTGACCTATTTATGCCCCTGTGTATTACATATTCATACCATGTCATGATCAGCAATACATAGCACTTATAATTATAGATTGAGAAAGTCTTCAAAGTTCAAAGAAATGTAAAGATGAAAGCTAATTAGTCAAGTTACTTCGACCCAACATTTTGAATTCGTTCCAAATGGCATTAATAATTACAAGAAAGTCATTGTACTGATGGGGAAATTACAGGCAGAATATGATATTCTTTTTACACCTAGCAACCACAGTAACATAACATCTGTTATTAATTAGACTTAAACTCTAGTTAGGTGATATCAGACTGGTGCCTGGCTCTGAGTTGTAGTGCCTGGTGTCTGGGCTCTGAGTTGTAATGTCTGGTATCTGTCTCTAAGTTGTTATGTCTGGTATCTGTCTCTAAGTTGTTATGTCTGGTATCTGGCTCTGAGATGTAATGTATGGTGTCTGGCTCTGAGTTGTAGTGCCTGGTGTCTGGCTCTGAGTTGTAGTGCCTGGTGTCTGGGCTCTGAGTTGTATTGTCTGGCTCTGAGTTGTAATGTCTGGTATCTGTCTCTAAGTTGTTATGTCTGGTATCTGGCTCTGAGATGTAATGTCTGGTGTCTGGCTCTGAGTTGTAGTGCCTGGTGTCTGGCTTTGAGTTGTAGTGCCTGGTGTCTGGGCTCTGAGTTGTATTGCCTGGTGTCTGGCTCTGAGTTGTAATGTCTGGTATCTGTCTCTAAGTTGTTATGTCTGGTATCTGGCTCTGAGATGTAATGTCTGGTGTCTGGCTCTGAGTTGTAATGCCTGGTGTCTGGCTCTGATTTGTAATGCCTGGTGTCTGGCTCTGAGTTGTAATGTCTGGTGTCTGGCTCTGAGTTGTAGTGCCTGGTGTCTGGCTCTAAGTTGTAATGCTGGTATCTGGTTTTGAAACAATTAGGCCAGCCTCTGATATATAAAACAGATGTGGATGACAGTAGTTCAACAGTAGATCACCCTATGGAAAACATGCTAGATTATCATTATGTCAAGACCTGGTTTCTCGTAAAATATCCTAGATTAATGTACGACGACGTCAAAAATAACATTGTTCAGTACTTATAGTTCACATTTGTTATAAACGGGGGCCTCTGGGGTTTCTTTTAACTGGTGATAATACAATATTGGACCACCCTCCATTCTGTTGACCTGTTGACCTCTAGGGTTAGGGTGTTTTATTTTAGGTAGGACTCTATATAAATGTTGGTATTGTATTGTATCTAAAATATAACTATATATATATATAAATGTATTTCACAATGATGGCAGCAAGGCCCTTGCTTCTTGTCTCTACTTAAACAATAATATCACAATGAAATATTATATTTGTAGAGAATGGTTATGTAGAATATGATGAATTCCTTCAGTTAATGAAACGCTGGTCTACTACCAATCCACCAGGAGCAGCAGCTGTTGTTGAACCTGAACTTACTGATGAGGAGAAACGGAAAGAAACGTTTGCTATATTTGATATGGATGGTAATGGTTATATAGATGAACATGAATTAAGGTAGGCTGACTTTCGTATAACACCAACAATTACACGAGCAGCTAAATTGTTTCTGTCGAGAGCTCCGATTGGCTGGATTTACTAACGTACTATCCTATCAAATTGCTGCAATCTTCTATGATACAAGAAGTAAATGAATGGAGTTTTAGGTCCTACTTTTCTGCACCTTATGAGCCAATGAAGATGGTATAAAACAAGAAAGGTGGTCACAGTATAAGATAGAAAGTAATAGCTTGACATTGTGAAGATAGGCACCTATGTACTATATATAACCCTGTATGTTTTTACTATATCAGGTATGTAATGAGACGACTAGGTGAAAATTTACAAGAAGCTGATGTAAAAGCTATGTTCCAGTTAGCTGATTTAAATGGTGATGGCCTCATAGACTACGAAGGTACGTTCACATTTTATGAACTAGATCTCACTACCAATCCACAAATATTTCCTGACAAAGAATTTACTCTAATAAGTGAGGCAATGCAGCTTCCTGTCAGATCCTGGGGGTCCATGGTTCCCTTCTGCCATCAAGATAATGGGATGATTCAATAAATTCTCACTTCTACCAAATTCAGGGCTGCCATTCCAGTCAAGCGAATGTGGCAAAACAAGTAAAAAAACAAAAGAGCCTTTCACTATAATGCCATCTTTATCTTCTGTTAATTTCAGAATTCAACCAATTAATGGGTGGCCTAACTTTTCCAGTCGTGCCAAAGGGAGGAGCAAAAAGTAGTCCGCCAAAAAGTTCCAAGAAAGAGTCTAGTAAGAAATGATTGTAGGAAGGGACATAACTCTTGTTAAAATTATCTCATTTCAAAAGACAAAGATTTTTTTTCCTTTTAATTGTGTCACATTGTTCACTCATTTGGTAAGAGATAATTATATAGAAGCTAGGATTGAACTTGTCGCTGTTTTCTCACCCCTTTTTATAAATCTGGTGTATGGAACTCTGTAAAGTTGGTGTGCTCTTGTGGAAGTTCTTTACCATCTTTGTTGTAAATTCTTGGTGGTTGGATTGTTTCTGTGTTCTTGATAAAATGGTAATAGAGAAACAGTAGTGTGTTCCAGTCAAAGATGTTGGTGCTTATCAAGTGACATAAACAACACATGATAGACCTTTATCATATTCAATATGAAAATGTTGGTTTGTACACAACAAGAATCGAACATTAATATGGAAGTGTTTTGGCTGATGAAAACTTAGAACGCCAAGGAAAGCTACGTGACTCTTCAAAACCTTAACGTAAACACTGCACAAAAGGGAGACAGCTTCCAGCTAGAAGGATAAATGGAATGTGAAACACCACTGGGAGAATTGTGCTAGGAATTAGCCAGGATTGATGTGGAATCTAATGTCTTCGCACTAAGATCTTCCAAGACATTCTGTATTTTCCACGCCGTGGAATTTTATGACCGGTTATGACACATCTGTTCTCTATACCAATCTACACATATCCCTTTTATCAGACGTGGTACGAAGTCTGTTCTACATCTTTATAACTGGTCTAACTATTACTAAAATAATTTGAAATAAGGACACTTGTTAAAAATGAAATCATCCTTAATAGCACCTTGTTGGCAGTCAGTCAATAACATACAGTTTGAAAAATGTTGACTTTGTTAGTGATGCAGAGTTGACAACCACAATAGCAGACTGAGTATGCCCTGTTCGCTAGCCACAGTTAGAAACGCTAGGCTTGAATATTTGTGAATAGACTTTGTACACCTTTTGAGAACCAGAAAATGTCATTGTTACAAATCATCTGAGCACCAGAATTAAGGGAAACTTTAAGGCTCTAATCAGACATGACTGGTTTTCTTGCTTGTACTGATGGAAATCTTACAACTTTCCCCATTCCTAGGCCTTGATTTTTAAATGGCAAACCTGTCGAATGCTATATATATATAAAAGTTTGAAACCAAGAGCACCCTACCCATGTGAAATGCTACGAAGGATGATACAAAAAGTTGGCACTGGTTAGTGACTGAATCCTTTAATAGTCTTTGTCACTCCAGACTTAATTGTCCTTATACAATAATATATAAATGTACTGGAATGACAGAGACTACATTTTCCAATGTTTGATTATACCTCCTTGGCTCATTCATTATCCTCCTTGCCGCATTGTATGCAAGTTAACCTTGACCTTTATAAGGTGAAGGTTACATAATTGGGTCAAGGTCATTGGCCTTGATCTGTCAGCATATGACCTTGACATTAGAGTATGAAATTTGCGGCCTCACATTCCAATTGGTTAATGTATAAATATATATACAATTTGTATGAAATGTTTTTTACGTCATATTACTCCCTGTATCTTGCACAAATTGTATGATATTGTATTTAGAATCTTCGTATTGTTATCGTGGGATATCTAGAGCATTCACATAATGACCTGACATCCTGGGCTAACTGTCATTCATGAATATTCATCAGAAACACTGTCCAATCAAAACCATTATTTTGGATATCAGTTTACACTATTTAATAACTTACAGTAAGTTATTAGCATTGTCAAGTAACACTCATTTGATTGGTCAATGGTCTGAGAATAGCTCATGAATTATTCATGACATTATAACAAATCTTTCTGAGTTGACCCAGGGCGATAAGTAAAGGTATATTATGAGATTTCTTCAGATAAACCCATATCATCTGTATGATATGATAATATATGAACCCCTCACTTTGTTTTTGTTATTTTTTGAGTGTCTTTCATCTTCACTAGTGATAGAAGTGTCAGGGGTAAAGGTTGTAGGAATCCGGCAGTAAATAGGCTTTAAGAGATTGTAAAGAGGTGTTTGGTCACTGGTCGTAAAAATGCTTTATCACATAAGGCCCTTCGCGATTAGTGACGTTATCAAACACTATCAATTGTTATCAATTGCAGGAACCAAAGACGTCTTAACTGTTTGAGAATCTGAATGGTTTAAATTGATGTTATCAGTGTCCCTGATACACATTTCAAGTTTTAAAAACCTCTTTACAATCTCTTTACTGACATACATCTATAGTGGATAGTCTCTTACTTCCATCTACTAATTTAACTGAGGTGACCATTTATATAAATATTAGTTATAATATAGGTAGTTATTTTTTCAAAAATAAATGTTACTAGGCATCTTATAGTTTAAGCCAACATTGAAAGACTATATTTTAATGTCCGGTATAAAAAGGTCCCTGATATTTAGATATGTTAATTCTATATATTGGATGTAAAATTTTAATAGTTATTTAACTATTAAAATAAGAGGCCTTTCACACATTCTCTTTTAAAGTTGTTGTGCTGGCTTAGTGTGTTTGACAATGGATAATTTTTTGAGGACACTAGCATGAAGAATTTTTTATTATTATAGCTTTTTTGGCATAATTTCAAACTTGATAAGGCCTTATTCATTATAGATCAAACTCGGAGCTGTAAGGAATTGAAATAAAATGAAATGAATGGAGTTTTACGTCCTACTTTTCTGCACCAAAAGAAGTAATTAAAGGCATACTTTTAAGCTTGTTACACATATGGAGGGCCTCTTTTAATATATTATTAAAACTTGTGATACATTTTCTTATTGTGATACAAAATAGAACAAAATATAAGGCATAGATACATACAAGTAATATATTTATTATATATAGTTAAATGAGAGGCAGATCTCATATAATGCCTCTATGGTTATCAAATTTATTAACAGGCCAGTAGAGGCATTTAGTGGGATAATGCCTCAGATTTATAGTAGAGGCATCTTGTTGATTATGCCCACATTTTTTCTTTCAATATGGTGATAGAATTTGTAGTTTTTCATTTTGTAAATGGGAAATTTATCATTTAATGATTTAATACGCAATATATAAACTAGATTTGTAAGTCTGGGCACAATTTAACATATAGAAAGTAGATATATTCAATATGTATTACCCATATTAGGACTGAATTAGGATATTAACCACTGGATGAGTTACTTATAAAATTGTAAATGGAGAGGTATCTTCTTTCTATGTATCGTCAAGTAAAGATAGTCATGCACACCAGGGACTATTCAAAACAGAAACTCAGACAGTCTATTTTGATTCCAGGTAGAATAAATAGTAATAAGCACATTATAAACCAACTTATAGTGTGTTCTTCGCTACTGATTTACCTCAAAATAAAGTAAACTTGTCCCACGATGTGCTTGAATATTTTTGCTAATTTATGTGTTGATTTTTTGCAAATAGAAACACCATTATATAGAAATATATTGTTAGATAGTTTTGAATAATATTGTTGAAAGAGATTAAACTATTTTCCCCAGGTCTCCCCTGTTTTTTTGTATATTTGTAATTTGTGTTTGTAAATATGTAAATAGTTTCTATTACTTTGTTGTCAACAATCCAAATATATCTTCTGATCTTACTCGTAGTTATTTTACTTTAAAAAAAATACATCTGTAGCCCTTATCAGTAAAGCCATCTGGAGTCCGGTGATGCCTGTCTGGGGGGCCAGTGATGCAGACTGTAGACGTAGAGGCAGGGGCTCAGACGAAGAGCGTCACCATGTCAGCTATAGAGGTCAAATGGATGGATTTCTTATTGATAGCAGAAATATTCTATTTTCAATTTTAGGACATTATGAGAGCACAAAATTCACCTGTGATACAGATTGGAGGACTACAGGACAGGGGCTTGCATGTAGAGAGCCCCCCAACCCCCTTGTCTGTGATGTCTGAGATTAACTGCAGAAAATGAAGTACTTTCACAAAATGTACAAGGTTTAACTAAGGTTAACTAATGTGCACTAGATGCACCCAATTTCATAAATTTATTTCCTTAAACTATCAAACACAGAAAAGGTCTGGTGTTAAATTCTATTGAAGAAGAAGGCCCATTAAGTTTGAATAAATGACAAGCAAACGCGTATAAAGGGAGGCTACTACAGTTTTTAGTAAGATATTTATTTGTAGTCTGGAGGCAAACGCTTGGTTTTATTACGGTTTATTTTATTAAATGAGGCTATATTTAGCTGTTTAGAGAAACCCTCCAGCTCAGCCAATGAAAATGCAGGAAACTTTAAGAAAAGATGGCGGCCCCCATGAAAAAATGTGGCCGGACAAAAATACAAGAAAACATTAATTTATAACGATAATTTGATGAAAATATTGGTGTAGGAACGAAGCAGGTAACTTGTTTTATCCATTCCATGTGTTGTCACTCATATTTTAGGTCAGAATTCGTAGGAAACTGCGGTTTTTCATTCTTTTTTGTAGTCTCGGTAAAACCTCACATGGCAGTCGCGAGAATTAAGGTTTGTTTACATGTTTAGGTCAACTTTTCGGTATGTTTACTGCGTTGTCAGTGATAAATAATAGCTGTCACGTTAATAACGTATTCAAAAGTCCCAAATGAACTGATATATATAACT